CGGGGAGGGAGGCGGGGGTGCTGTGGTGGCACCGGTTCTCGCAGCCTGATGAGTCTCATACTGGGGCTCCCCAGTTGAAGCACATCGTTAGGCTACTTTATGGGGGCTGCTGGGGTGCCGACCTGTGCCCCGGGTGGGGACAGAGGGAGCTGTGGGTGTTCATCCTGCCCTGTCAAGGTGGGAGGTGGCCCAGGCAGTGTCACCCTGGGGTTTTCCTCCATCCCACTGCGGCTCCTCAGTGGTCCTGCTTGGGAAGCAACACTCTGGGCATGACTTGGTGTCTCAGGCTGCAGGTACCCTCCCTCCCTGTCCCCACTGCTCTGGAGGTTGCCTTGGCTTTGCCACCTTTGCCACCCTTGCTCCTCTGGACTTGCCGCCTTGTCTGGCCCCACTCATGCCAATTCCATGCCAATGTCCCGTGGGTGCCACGTCTGTGCCAGGGCAGGATGTAGGTGGCCAGTGGGGGCACTCCATGACTCTGGTGTGTTGTCCACAGGACCCCATCCTGCTGAGCAGATATGCTGCCCAGTACTAAACCCTTCCCACAACCTCATCATGATGATGATAACAGTAATAGTAGTGTATTTCCTTGCCACAAGCTGGTTCTCCTCCAATAGCCATCCTGGCTGCAGATCCCTGGGGAAGGGAAGCCAATGTGGCTGTTTCCATCCCTGACCATACATGTAATGCCAGGGCCATGCAGGGTGAGCAGCAGTCACAGACTGAGCACTAATGTTGCACTGGGTTTAGGGCTGATTTGGGGTGAGGGAGAGGGCATGTCCCAGCTATGCCCAGGAAATGGTGGCACCGTGCTGGGAAGGCAGAGCAGGAGCCGGGATGGGTGCACTTGGGGTGGCATCCTTGTGGTGGGTACTGTAAGGGAGCACTGAGGCCAGCTGGAGGGAAAAGGGCACATTGCCAGTCACATTGCCCCAGTGTGTGATGTGAACCAAGTTATTTTGGTTGTAGACACAGAGCTTTCTTCCTTGACCTCTGCAGTGCTGGTGGCCCAGCCAGACTGGGGGACACCACCCAACAGCCCCATGGCTGTGCTGTCAGAAGCAGAGACAAGGGGACCTATGGGGTGGCCTGGGAAGCAGAGCACCCACAGGAAGCTGGCAGCATGGCTGTGATCCAGCCTGCAGGCCACAGCACTGTTAGGACTCCCCAGAGTACCAATCCCTCCTCAGTTCCCGTGTTCAGCATCACTTTTGGTGACCACCCATCCTGTGCTGAGGATGCCGGTCGGCACAGGGCTCTGTCACATCCCTCATGAGTCACCACGCCAGCAAGGTCATGGGCCTTTCCTCATTGCTCGGCCACCCTTCCTCCCATATTAGCTGGAGGCTTTAATTAATAAAGGCATCCACCATGGGCTAAGTGCTGCTCCCAGCCACCTCAGGGCTCACCGTCACACGGTGGGCTGGCGCAGTCAGCGTGGTCTCTCTTCGAGACCCAGCTACTGGTGAGGCTGACTTTCCTTCTGTTTTTGAACTCTGGAATCCTGCCCCAGGGGGCTGGTGAGGTTGCTCAGTCGGTGGCTCTGCAGGCTGCACTGTCACGGCTGTGCTGGGGGGCTGCAGGCAAGGGCTGTCCCCTTGCCCAAAGCCATTTCCCTGGCAGCAGCCTGACCTGCAGCAGTGTATCCCAGATGTGTGCCTCTCCATGGGGCTGTTGGCACCTCTCCTCACCTGGGTTTTGTGTGTCCCCTGGTGGGATCCTCTGTGCAGGGGGTGACATGGAGACCCCCAGTGCTGGGTGCCCTGGGACTGCTGGGAGGCTTTGCTGTGGTGTTTCTCTGTCCAAACCATTCCAGTCTGCTGGATGGCTCCCAGGGAGCAAAGCAAGTGTGGTGTCTGCAGAAGGCAGGCAGGTGGCACAGCCTGCTCTGTTTGTGAATGGAAAACCCACTGTGATGAGAAAAAGGTGGCTTTGGAGGGGGGTTACATCCAGCTCCCACATTCCTGGTGGTCTTTCCACATCATCAGCCTGGGCTGACCCAGGTTAGAAGGTGGACAAAGAGTGGAGCAGGCTTGGCCAGGGCTGTGTCTGCTGCAGTGCAAGTGCAGCCTTATCTCACCCCAGGATCCCTGGGGAGACTGCAAAGGGTGGGTGGCCAGTAGAGGGGTGTAGGACCAGCACTGACCAGTTTGGAGCAGCAACAATTGTCCAAAGGCTTGGCCTTGGGGAAAGGGTAAGAATAGAGACTGGGAAGACAAATGCCTGAGGTCCTGCTCCTGCCCGAGTGTAGATAATCCCCTTTGCTGGGACTTGCCAGTTAACCACCTCATGTATCCCAGGGGAGCATGGATTGTCCTCTGTGTCCCCCATGTCTGTCACCGTTGGTGTGCAGCCAGGTGCTGGGAGTAGAGGCATCCCTCTGCTCCCCCTCTGCTTTCCAAGCTGAACTTGTCCCTGAAGATGTTTCTGGAGATAAAAGGGCTGGGAGATACCAAGTCTCAGTGCCCCGGTCAGCAGCATCAAGCCTCACACTTCTGAGCAGCTCCGTGGTGAAGCCTGTCCCTGTGCACCCTGGGGCTGAGCTTCTGGGTGGCCAGCACCAGCTTGGCAGGCAAGGAGAGGAGTTTGAGAGCAAAACCTTCACATCTGTGTTTCTCCCATTGTTTTTATACAAAGTTCAGGCTGTCTCTCTACTCCCCTGCTGCTCGAAGCATATCTCTGCCTCCCAGCACGGGTGAGGAACATCTCCCCTTTTTCTGGCCATGAAGGGAGAGCTCCCTCTGTCCCACCCGTGTCTACTGCAGCCTAAAACCAGCCAAAATGGTGGATTTCTCTCTTGGATGGGTGCTGGAAGCTGGGGTGGGAATTGGGATGTTCCTGCCCTGAGCTGACTGCTTACAGGAGCAACCAGCATGGAGAGACCAGGTTGATCTCCCAGTTTGTCTAAGATTGTGCTCTGGAAACAAGTCTGTCCTTAAATGGGAGAACTGGACCTGGGTGGGAGCTGGGAGCTGAGCTACTCCACACAGTGCCTGCCCCGTGCCTGCTGGGCCGGCAGCAGCCCCCAGAGGAGCTGAAGCACCAAGTGCCCCTGGCAGATGGGAAAAGCTGATCTGGGTCCTGTCCCTGTGGGCAGAGAGACCCAGGAGGCTCGGGGACGCTGGACGAGGGGTGCTGCAGCAGTTCCTGACATTGCCCTGGCCCTGGTCAGGGCTGCTGCTGCAGGAGATGACCATGGCTGGGCTGCATGAGCTGCGCTTCACTGAGGAGAAGCCACTTCTGCGGGGCCAGGAGGCCGAGCTGGTGGGTGAGGGGAGCATCTGGTGCTGGGTCCAGGGGGGGGGAAACTGGGGGGGCTGGGACTAGGGACATGCATGTGCAGCCTTGTGTTGGTATTCAGTGCATGTGTCTGTACATGTGTGCTGGTTTTGCGTACACGTGTGTGCATACATGTAGAATCATGGAACCATAGAATGTTATGGGGATGGAAGGGAACTTGGAGGTAACTTAGTCCAGCCCCCTCCCCTCAGCGCACAGGAGTGTGCAGGTGTGTGTGCAAACACACTGATGTCAATGCACATGTATGGGTGGTTACAGGTTCTGGCTTGGTGTGACGATGTATGTGTGCGAAGGTGTTGCTAATGCACGTGTCTGCCTGCACATGTGTGGGCCTCGTGTCCCCTAAAGCCAGCACTGCCCAGGAACAGGTACTGCTGGAGCTGAGTTTGAGGAGGGTGCTGTGAAGCGAGGGCTGGTGGGGTGTCTTGGTCTCTGATGGATCCTTCTCTCCCCAGGAGAACTCCGATATCTTCCTCTTCACTGTGGACTCAGACTGGAAGGTAGGACGGGCTCTGGGGTGCCCTGGGTCCTGCCTGGGGCTGCAGTGTGCACTGGGGCGGCCTGTGGGTACTGAGGGGACTGTTGCTATCTCCCCGTCCATGGGGTGCTGTGCCTGGGTGGTGTCTGTGCATGGGCTGCACATCCCCTGTGGTCCCCAGCAGGAGGGGACAGTGGTCCCTGCCAGTCCTGCTTCGTGCTGGCACTTCGGTGTGGCTCCTGGCACTTTGTGACAGGCCAGGAACAAAACCTCTTTAAAGCAGGCAATTTCTTCTCAGGAGGGCCGAGCTGCTTCCCAGCCCCTCTGCCATTGCCATGGCAATGATTTCCCAGCACTGCCAGCTCCCTGCTTACACTAGGACATTTGAAAGCCTCTTTCTTTTGTGGAAGGCTGGAACACTGCCCCTCACATCCCTACCTCTTGTGGAGAGCAGGGCCCCTCCACTCCTCTGGCTGGCACCTGCCTGCCTTTTACCTCCGTTTCATCTCCCTAGAGGAGCCCCAGGACGTCACCTCGGGGCTCATGGGAGCTCAGCTCCTGCCCGGCTCACGTATTAGTCTCCACCACCCTCAGACTTCTGCCTGAGCTCAGCCTATTCTGGGCTCCATGCAGAAACCAGGGTGCTGGTAGATAGGCAGGGAGGGTGGTGGGGCTGCCAGACCCTAGCTTGCTCCCTGTCCCGTTCCCCAAAGTATCCCCCTACCAGGGAACACCAGACACCCACTTCAGATTGTACGTTGCTGGGGCTGCCAGGAGGTTGGGCTCAGGTAGTACTTGTTGAGCCTTGCCAGATCCAGCACTGAAACAGAAGCACCTGAAAGGATAAAATAATTCTGGATTTCATTCATCCTGAAGGAGAGGGCAGGGGAGTCCAGGTCCCCAGTTTGGCAGACCCAGTGGTGCCCAGGCATTTTAAGGCTGGCTCACTTGCTCTTCATCACCTGGGCAGGGTGCAGCTGGGTGGGGAGCAAAGGCTTTCATCAGGATGCTGGGTGGTGGCTGCTGTGGTTTCCACTGTAGGAGATTTTTGGTGGTTCTCTTGGAGGCCACAAAATTATTCAAAATTGCTGTGGTGGAAAAGAAATGTCATCTTTCCAAAGCTGATAAGGTGCTGGGGTGGGGAGCAGCAGGGTGTGTGGGTCTGAGCTGTTCCTTGATCTGCTCGCTTAGGGTTCTAGTTGACCACTGGAGAGGCACCAAAAACTCCTGGTGTGACCAAAGTGTGGGTGAGGAGGTGGCAGTACAGGGCTGCCTGGAGTGCTCAGCAGCACCAGAGGCACCATTACTGCTCTTGCTCAGCTGTGCTGGGGCAGGGTGCAGCTGGCATGTGGAGGATGTTCCAGAGCAATGACTCTCCTAGGACAGTCTCTGTATGCCAGTATTTCAGGGCTTGGCCCATGGTGACACTGAGCTGTACCCCTGGTGGTGCCCAGCTAGAGCTGGTCCAGATGGCAAATGCCACAGCCATGAGCTTGCATGCCCTGTGTACCTAAAAAATGAACTAGGCAAGGATCAAAGTGGTTTTTCCCAAGCCAGGCCCTGCACCCTCTTGGTTCCCCTCCAAGAGCCTCAGGGCGAGGATGGGATGAGTTTCCCAGACCATGCTGGAGTGACCCACCTCCTTTCTTCCACCCCAGCTGGTTCTCGGCAGAGGGTGGGGTTGCTTGCCTCTCCTTGGGGGTTCTTACCTCCTTTTACAGTTCACTTCCTTGGAGTGATTCAACCCAGCCCCCAGCCTAGCTCTTTGCCATCCCTCAGCTCTCCCCCAGAGCCCCTCACTGCTACCTGACTGAGCCACTCTGGCCCAGCTGGGGCAGCGAGGGGAGTGAGGACCCCCACTGCCACCTCCAGGCAAAGTAAAGCCCTTGGGGCTGCTAGCATAGGCCAGGGTGAGGGAGTGCAGAGGGGCAGGTGCCTCTGCCATGGGGCCTGAGCCTCCTGGCCCTGCTGGATGTCTGGGCCACCCGCCAGGCAGATGGATTCGTAGCTGATGGTGGTGCCATTCAATGCAATTCAAGCAGAGTCAGCCTTGCTCATTTTCCCCTCCATCCCTGCTGCCCTTTTGCATTCATGCCTTATTTCATCTTGACTTTTACACCCCTTCTCCCCTCTATTTTTCCACCTTTTGTCTTTTTTTGCCTGCTCATGACCTTCTGCATCTCTTTTCCCTGGAGGCCATGGCTGCTTGTGCTCTTTGGTTCTGCAGGCAACAGGACTGAAGAAAACAAAAATGGCACCTGGGTCCACAAATGGCTTTGGACCTGTGCCAGGAACCTGGGAACTTCCAGGGGCTCTTCACCAGCTCTGGGTGACCATTTGTCCAGGTCAGGGAAGGGGCTTTCCCCAGGGAAAAGTGGCTCAGCCTTGTTATTAGACATCAGAGACTCCACAGGAACAAGCCTGCTGTGTGACGCTAAAGACATGGGGCTTTGCCATGCTGGGCAGCCCGGGCGTGTGATGGTGGTGGCAGCTGGATCCCCTCTGCCCATAGCTGTGGCACATGCCAGGGCAGTGTGGCAGCAAGCTGTGGAGCTGATGCAACGGGAGGACAGGCTCCAGCTGGAGCAACCCTGTGGAGGGCAGGGGTGTGGGAGGGTCCCCACAAGGTGCTGCTGTGGTCCTGCACTGGCGCATGGCTCTCCAGCCTCTTCAGGCAGGTGCTGGGGGGATTGTGGGACCCTTGTTCCCATCTGTGATTGCCCAGCTTCATGCTGCTGCAGCTTAGGTGCCAGCTGGGCAGCGGTGCTGGGCTGGGCACGGACAGGCAGAGTGGGGGGTATGGCAGAGTCTGCTGGGGGCCTAGGAGTTGTAGCCATCAGTGGTTGAGATGCTCTTGTGAAACCTCACTTGAATCAGGGCAGAAACCTATGAGCATGGGAATACACCTGTGTGTATGCATGCACAGCACGTGTTGGCTGAGGACAGGCTCTGGCCTCTTGGTGCTACTGGGCTTGTCTTTCCTCCTGCCTCAGTTACGTGCCACCAGTGACCTCCAGGTTGGGCCTAAATCTCACACATCCCTGCATGGCAGCATCCCGCAGCAGGAGGGATGGCTGTGCTGCTGGGAAAGGTAGCAACAGGTATCCGGGCAGTGCTCATGTGTGTACATGGGTGTGCCTCCTCGTGTATATGTGCACAGGTTTCTTGTGTGTGCAGGTTGTTGTGCATCCATGAGCATGAGGGATGACCATGGCACACATGCTAAGCACATGGGAGAAGGATGCAGCAATTGTGCTCTATAAGCACGTAGCAATGCACAAACAATGCACAGTAACATGTACCCATGCAGACACACAGGGCAAGCAAGTTGTAGCCATCAGTGGTTGAGATGCTCTTGTGAAACCTCACTTGAATCAGGGCAGAAACCTATGAGCATGGGAATACACCTGTGTGTATGCATGCACAGCACGTGTTGGCTGAGGACAGGCTCTGGCCTCTTGGTGCTACTGGGCTTGTCTTTCCTCCTGCCTCAGTTACGTGCCACCAGTGACCTCCAGGTTGGGCCTAAATCTCACACATCCCTGCATGGCAGCATCCCGCAGCAGGAGGGATGGCTGTGCTGCTGGGAAAGGTAGCAACAGGTATCCGGGCAGTGCTCATGTGTGTACATGGGTGTGCCTCCTCGTGTATATGTGCACAGGTTTCTTGTGTGTGCAGGTTGTTGTGCATCCATGAGCATGAGGGATGACCATGGCACACATGCTAAGCACATGGGAGAAGGATGCAGCAATTGTGCTCTATAAGCACGTAGCAATGCACAAACAATGCACAGTAACATGTACCCATGCAGACACACAGGGCAAGCCCTGGGGGTACGTGCAAGTGTTCTGTGGGGTGCATGTGATTCAGCCTGGGTCACTGTATTTATTTTTCCAAAGATTACATGCACAGATATGTGGGGGGACATGGTTTTGCCTGGTCCTTGTGTATCTGTGTTGGTACGTGTCCCTGTGCACATATGTGCATAGACACGCTCATATGGGGAGCACGTGTTACATCCTCCTGTATGCTTAGCATGTACCCATGTCTGTTTATGGGGTTGTGTGAGCTGCCTGGTACATGTGCATTGCTGCAGGGCCTTGGTCTGGGTGGCTGCAGGCTGGAGAATGTGGCAGGAGCCACACACGTGCGTGATGTGTGCGTGTACATGGTGTGTGTGATACGTGCATGTGACGTGTGTGATGTTTGTGTAGTTGTGTGTGATGTTTGTGTATTTGTGTGTGATGTGTGTATGCACACGTGTATGATGTGTGTGCTGAGCTCTGCCGGGTGGGTGCCGGGTGTCCTGCCAGGGGTCCGGGTGCGCCCCTGCCCTTGCCCCCCCTGCTGGCCCTGCCGAAGGAGGGAAGATGGAGAAGGTGCCGCTCGGTGCCAGGCGTTTCCTTCACAAACAGGGTTTTGGGGCCAATTGGAGCATGAATAACACCCGCGGCAGCCAATGGCTGCG